CACTGAACTCATTGTCATGATCATGAAACCAATTTGAGACGACTTTGGATTTGTGACATGGTGCATTATCATGCTGGAAGCAGCCATTAGAAGATGGGGAAATTGTGACAATGAAGTGATGCACACAGTCAGCAGCAAAACTCAAATAGGCTGTGGCATTCAGGCGATGATTGATTGGTATTAACGGGCCCAAAGTGTGCCAAGACAACCACTGAGCAGCTAATCATGTGGCAGCAGAGCAATGCACAAAATCATGCAGATATGGGCCAGCAGCTTCAGGTAATGATCACATCAACCATCAGACTGAGGAAAAATGTGATCTCAGTGATTTTGAACGTGGCATGATTGTTGGTGCCAGCCTGGACTGTTGACACAAGGCAGGCTGGGTCCAGGTATTTATGATTTTGGTACCAAATTCTGAACCTACCATTTGTGTGCCTCAGCAGAAATCGAGATTCATCAGACCAGGTTACGTTTTTCCAGTCTTCAACAGTCCAGTTTTGGTGAGTCTGTGCCCACTGCAGCCTCAGCTTCCTGTTCTTGGCTGACACAAGTGGAACCCGACGTCTTCTGCTGTTGTAGCCCATCCGCCTCAAGGTTCGACATGTTGTACATTCTGAGATGCTTTTCTGCTCACCACAATTGTACAAAGTGGTAATCAGAGTTACTGCAGCCTTTCTGTCGGCTCGAACCAGTCTGGCCATTCTCTGTTCACCTCTCTCATCAACAAGGTGTTTCCATTCGCAGATGTGCAGCTCACAGGATGTTTTTTTCTGTATTGCACCATTCTGTGTAAACTCTAGAGACTGCTGCGTGTGAAAAACAGCAGTTATAGAAATACTCAAACCAGCCCGTCTGGCACCAACAATCATGCCACAGTCAAAATCGCTGAGATCACAATTTTTTCTCCACTCTGATAGTTGATGTGAACATTACCCGAAGCTGCTGGCCCGTATCTGCATGATTTTATGGATTGCTCTGCTGCCACACGATTGGCTGATTAGCTAATTGCATGAATGAGTAGGTATACAGGTGTTCCTAATAAAGTGCTCTGTGAGTGAATACTGATGCATTTAATATTGTTTCAAACATATCTTGATTAATCTTGAGGGCTGTAATTGCAGCTTTTACAGTAAGGACTAGTTGATTTTTGCATATTAATACTTTACACCATTTTATTCATGTAACTTCCTTTATACTTCTTGGAGGTTCTACAGTTATACCTTTTCATCTGTTTACTGTGAATATATTCAAAGACTATTGTTATTATTATTATTATTATTATTATTTAGTCAGCAATTAGTTGGCTAATATTGAGTTTTCTGTTTGGTTGGTTATTTAACTTTACCTAAAGTTTTAGGACTACTTACAGGATGTACTAATTCATACTCATTCCTGAAGTTTTATTGCTTTAATACCCAAACTCTGGTCTCTGGGTAGATTCCAGCCTGGGAAACGTTATTATACACCCAGACACACAAAGTGTAGATTTTATTATTTAAAGTGGGCTTAGTTATACTATTCATATATATTAGCAAAATTAATTAAAATGCAATGCAAATATATTAACCGTACAATTATATATAAACTTTGATGACCTTTGACAAAATGCCTTGCAGTATCTCTAGTGTATGTTTACTCAGTAGTTCTTCATGTTACTTGGCTGAATGCAAAACTGTTCTCCATTAAACATAGGGTGCATTAAATACTCTGTAGTAGCCTTTTTTCATGCACTAACTAGTAGACTTATATAAGGGATAGGGAGCCATTTGGGATTCAGCTAATGGCTCATCTGCTGTTAATTGTCCTTTATAGTCTCTCATTTGAACTATCTGGGAGCTAAATCAACCTCGGTGTGAACGCTTACTAATGTTTTTCCAAATACATTGCATATTTTCTTGGACTCTAATATGTGT